TCAGTGAAAAACTATCTTTATTGTTGGTCAACTTGGTCAAGAATTTTTCTTTGCAATAAATTCCTCAACTTGTTCCGACAAAAGAACGGAACATCGAGCCCCATTGGAAGGATTGTCGAGACACAGGTTGAATATGACTGGTATATATATGTACGTCCTATTTTCTGATAGAAATGTTCGCATTTATACATTCCACTTTATATTGTTATTGAAAATTATAACAAAAGAAGAATAACAATAGTGTTAAACATAACTACCCACTTGTCTGTTAATATGTATGTGTATACCTATATTGCATTACGGTCCGCTTCATGACTGATTCGCTATGCGATAAATTGATATCAGGCGTATGCTATTCTTGTATATGCATGAATTTAGTCATCTCATTCTATCAATCGTAATAATCCATTGTCTCATTGTCATAACTTGCTGTTATGATACAGAAAAAACGTGGATTAATAAAATATATGTATTTTTATCCTCTCGGTAAAATGATAAATAAAAAAAAAAAAAAAGAAAAAAGAAAGACAGATTGATCGTGATAAATCGGGTAAAAGTGATAAAACTTCAACGAACGATATTGGACGAAAATGGAAAGCAATTCGACTTTACGTTAAATCGAAATTTCTTCGTCGTCTAGAAACTAATCCATTTTGGTCCGGTGGTTTTTTCGATTTAAAACGTAAAACGGGAATACTTCAAATTTAAACTACCCGTTGGGTTTGTAGTCCTTCTAATTCAAAGTACTTTGATTTCTTTCGCACGCAAAGAGGAAACCAGAGAAAAATAAAGAAAAGGGACACGAGGTTTTTCGTGTTTTTTGTGCTTTCTGTTTTTTTCTTTTTTTTTTTGTTTCGTTTAAATCATTTAAAACGTTTTTTACGAAAATTGAGGAAAGGACGAGGAAAATGAAAGAGAATAGAGAAGAACAAAAATTAATTAAAATTAAAAAGAAATATCTAGTATAGGAAATACGATGGATAGTGGTCGCGGGGGGGGGGACATAAGCATATATATATATATATATATATATATAAGTATAAAAATGAAGGATTTAAAACGATGATGATCATGATGATATCGAGCGTTTAGTTTCGAACAGATGGTGAACGATATTAAAAGAATAATGAAATTAACACATAGAAATATTGAGTAACGTTGGTTAACCACCACGAATGGTTGAGTTGTTGTATATTGTAATGGACAAACAAATGCAACATATGCGTATATGTATTATAAATGTAGGGGAACAAAGAGAGAACGAAAGAGACAAACATATTTATATACCGATCGTGAATAATGATGTCTCTCAGATACAATTATTAAACAAATTTATAATTCGATGAGAAACTTTGCACAGCCCTCTTTATATACAATAAAGGTATATCGAAAATAAATTAAATGAATATGAAACCGATAAGAAGTCGAATTATTACCATGGAGCTTGGCACAAATGTTATCAATTTTTATCTTTATATTTATATTTTTATCAAAGCTATAATATATTTATTATGATTACGTAGAAAAAAGGAACATATATCTAAGTACTTATATTATATCTACGTATTTATTTACATTACTTATATAAAAGAGTAAAAAAAGTAATACGAAATCATTTGATAAAAATTCAAATGAAATTTCTTAATGCATTTTGTATATGGGGTATGATTACATTTAAAAACAAAAAATTAAAAAAAAAAAAAACGTCCCGATAAGTCCATTTTTTGACAAAGTAACGGCTATTTGAAAGAACCTATTTTTTTTTCTTTTTAAATTCATCATTTTTTTTAGGTTGGGTAAAAAAATTTGCAGAATTTTCAAAGAGTTTTTCAATGGGGTAGAAAATGATAAAAAAAAGTTTCAACCAAATCGAAAAGGATCGGGGTCAAATGTGGTCGATTTGATGTGGAATGTCCCATATGTATATCCTTTGGAAATGTATTACATAAACGTGCAACGTATAGCGTACGATCAGCAAGATGGATAAATTATTGAGTCGTTTCCCTGTCCGTCTGGTTGGCTACGTTGAAATAATTATTAGCATGCGAATATATCGGTAAACTTATGCGATTGTATTCTACTATTCTGCAGGGTATAAAGTGTTCAGTTCTTGACATAGCGAATAAATTATTACATATATATATGAATTTACATATATGTATATATATATATAATATGTATCGTTCGAGTAAGTTGATATATGGTTGATATAGATAAAGTCTTCTCGGTATTCGAGTAATTAATTGATATAGTATGTGAGAATCGTAATAACGTTCAATTAGCATCGTTTGCGTATAAGTTTTCAATATACTAATGGACCAATCTGAATGGCTTTGGTATCTGTACGCATATCGAATAAAGTAAAACAGGTGAAATAAAAAGAGAAAAAGGGAATCATATTTCGAGATGTTAGCGAGTTCTAAAACCATCCTAGGGATAATTCTATACACATATATCCCACTTACACGCTTCAATATACACGAATAAGCGATGTTTCATGCAAATATTCATCATCTATGCAATATATCGCTTATCGAGTAATATCGCTTTGAAATTCTATATTCAGGTTGATTTTAGAAAATTTATTTGACACAAATATTACTACACGTACTTTATTTAATCTTATTTTTATTCTCCTTGTCTTTGACGTTATTTTTATTTATTCTTGTAAATTATTCGAATAAAATTAATCGATATTTATTTATTTACTTTAAACTTTGTTTTGTATATTGAATGAAGAATATAGTCAAATTGTTCCCCAGTGTATTTTATGAATTGTTAAGAATTCATTTTATTCTAACATTGGTACAATGTATTTTATTGTAATTTTTACAATCGAGGATCTTCCGTTTTAAGATCCATTAAGTAATTCAATGAGACGTGTGTACCTTCATCGTACTGATCCAATGGGTAGACTCTCATTTTGTATTCACATAGCGTGGCTTCGTTTTCATTCTATCTGTCTTCTAAACGATTCATCGTGAAAATTGTTTTCTTCCATTAGCTTAATGGAAAAGTTACGACGAACTATTTTTTTAGAATAGTACATTAAGTCATCGAATTTATTGATAGTCTATTGTATATATATATATAGTTGTATATATAGTATATCAACGTATGCGATCTAATTTATATAATTGTTTTTAATAATATTTTTGTTTATTTTTTGTTTCAGGTAAGCTTACCATATACGTGCTTTAAATGAAAAATTAGGATCAAGTACACGTAAGTGAATCGTATATAGTTTTATTCAGAACATATAGATTGATATAATCATTTATAAATAATATTTTTGTTAAATAAACAAGGTAAAAACGAAATAAATTTCACAAATGTTTACCTGTTGTTGAGATAATGTTATCGACATATGGTAGAAATCTGCAATACCATCCGAAGGTACACGTTCTGCAATTAATTTTTGAACAGAACTGTCTTATCGTCGGTAGAATATTATTTCCAAGGATAGTTACTCATTGAACGTCGATAAGTAAGTTTATGATATAATGAACTTACACGATTTACACAAAATATATCGTTTAAATAATATATATTTATCTGTTATTTTTAGATTTTTGGAATGAAAATATATTCGCGAATTTTATTCGTATTTTTATCGGGTCGGGTATATTTTGTTGAGTCGTGCTTTTAAGTTAGCGATGCCATCTGTAACGAATATACGTAAGCTTTCACTCAAAGCACTTGAATTATTGATCCGTTTGTTATATATGTATATCACTAAAGGCACACCAATTAAGATAGAACATCCGTAGTATTTGCATACATACATTAGTAGAATATATCCAACGAGAGTTAGTAGTTGCTTGGGAGAAACAAACGTGTGGTACTTTCGTATGAATTTTTCATTAAGGGGTTGGTTTTACTGGTTTTACACGGAACCGTGACACTTTAAACGCTCTTGACTATAAATCTTTTGCTTAAGATTTTAAACATATATTTTTTTTTTGCTTCGGTATAAAAATGTACAATTTCTTTTGATTATCCATCTAATTTAAATGAATATTAAAAAAAAAAAAAAAAAAAAAATAAAAAATAAAGCCCAAGTAAGAAAGAAAGATAGTAAAGCTTATTCCCAGCGCGGCCTGACCCGATTTACGTTGAACTTGCCGACTTCATATGACGAGGAAAGGAACTTTGCTGACGTAATACTAACCCACGCAAACTTTACATCGACCAATCGAACTATGAACATTTCCCTCATTATGTATAATTGCAAATGTACATGTTTGTGTGTGCTTCGGCGCTTTTCTGTTTTAATACAACCGCAATTTCCTATTTCGATTTTCGTGCATTTCGTATTGGGATGAAATTTTCCTTCGTATTTATCGAATGTCGTTTCTCCTGTATCAAATTTTCTGTCTTATAGGAAATTGGCCATAAGGATTTTCACCATCTACTTACAATGGCTTTACGCCTGCCATTTTTATGGTACTTTACTAAAGCTTATATCTTTCTTTTTAGATGATCAATATCATTTTTTTTATCAATGTTGTTTAATGTTAAATCACTCCTTCCTCTTCTACATTCAAATTATTTCGAACTATTTAGAATATTGAAGGTAATTACTCGAATGAAACGTTTACTCGTAGTTTTCAATTTATTCATCGAAGAACAATGCAAGAAACTTTCTCAGTTTATCAACGTTCGTTGTCTAACAGTTAGAGTTCTCGAAGCCAAAATAGTTTTGACTTCGATTTCTCCAGCTTATCGTTTATGGCATGTACTTTAGAGTAAATTAGCTCGTACAATCTAGTAATTAGTTTTACGTAATTATCTTTTAAGCTATGTTAATCATACTGTTTCTTTCAATAAACGGATTAACCAGCAACAATACTCTCTTATCTTTATTCGAACATTGGTTTAAGATATAAAGAAATAGGTAAAAAAACTGGACATTGTGTATCGTAACAGAATAAATTTATTTATTAAATCCAACAAATGGTTACGTTAAAAAAATCGTACGATGTTTGATAAAAAAAAAAAGCAAAACAAACGTACAAAGGTACTTAGTTTTTGATTCTTAAGAAATAAATTTGTATGCAGCATTGTGTAAAACGTAACTCATCAGACAGTTTTCACCATTTTTTCGATGGGGCAGGATAAGAGTATCCAGCGTCTCCTCCGATCGATCCACCACCGTTAGAAGAGTATTCATGACCGATGCTGACATCTACTCCTGAACTAAGTCCACTGGACAAGCTTGATCCAAAATCTGAGTAACCACCTGAGAATCCGGCGGAAAGTCCACTAGAATATCCACCGGAAAATCCACCAGAAAATCCACTGGTAGAACCCAAGGAATAAGATGGACCAACCGAGATAGGAACTGGCTGGATAACTGGAACAGGAACAGGATGAGGTACACGGACTTCGATTGGTTGAGGTACTGGTACAGGATAAGGACGGTCGACTTTAATAGGAACGTGACGGGTAACAGGAACTGGAACTGGATGAGGTACTGGTACTGGGTAAGGACGATCGACCTTAACTGGAACAGGATGAGGTACGGGTACGGTTCTTGTAACTTCGACTGGCACCGGATGTGGTACTGGAACAGGAACTTGGACTTCACGATGAACGGTGACACCAGTGATACGCTCAGCTCTAGCTCCTAGAAATGCGCCTCCAACGTTTCCTCCGCTTAAGGACAATCCAGAATTAAATCCAGAACTAAGTCCTGAACTGAATCCAGAGCCAAGTCCAGAACCATATCCGTAACCAAGTTCAGAACTTAAGCCGGAAGAATATAGACCAGATTTCAGTCCACCAGAATTGTAAGCACTTAAACCAAGGCCACTGGAATAACCAGAATCACCTAGAAGAGTACCACGTTTTTCGTGTTTCTTCTCGGCTAAAACAGCCGTAGCTAACAGACAGATCTGTAATGATTCGAAAATCAGATATATTATATTCAATTATTATAATATTTCGATTGATTTTTTTTTTCTTTTCTATGTAAGAGAGATAGATTTAAGTCGTACGTACAAGGAAGATTTTCATTGTTGTTACTCTTGCGTTGTGTCCACTTGAGTGTGTCATCCTTTAGTCCACTCGCGCTTTTTATATGCCTGACTGACCAGATGGCAATGCGTTACCAAGCGAAAGAGGATTACTTTCACTGGAGCAGCCGCACGCCCTACCGAGTGTACGATAGCTTCTCATGATTTTGTTCACACTGTTCCATCTCATTCTTACCAAAATAATACGTAACACCGGCAAACGTAAAGGTGCGCAAAATTCAAAGAAAACTGGTTGAATTTCGTGACATAAATAGTATACGTAATACTAATTGTAATATGGATCGATGATCGACTATAAACGGTAAATCGATCTTCACCTTTCTCCGCGTGTTCTTATATTTTTCTTTTTGTTAAGAATCGACGAATGAATATCCGCTGTTATTATTTTGCTTTGTTAAAATAATTATTTTCGAAGTGTCAATTTTATTTCCAAGTGTTAATTTCTATGGGAGGGGCGGGGGAGAAATAGACTAATAGAGATGATTAGAAATATTTTATTGTTAATTATTTATTATTTTAATATTGTTAATATAATTTAGAATTTTATTCTATATCTACTAAACATTTTCATTTCTCTATCTATAATGAGTGATGAAATATTTGTAAATCATTAATAACGAAAGACAGCAGGTGATCACCTTTCACAATTTACAATTCTATCTCGAACATATCTTCCAATTTGGAGCCTCTCCCAATTTTTTCTTGGAAATGTAGAGAACAGGAAGCGTGTTCGTGTTGCTTCTCGTCCCTTCACTTTCGTGCAGCCCTGTTGTGTCATCACAAGGAAACGACAAGAGATGAGAAAAAGAAAGAAAGAAGGGGAGAGAAAAGAAAAAAAAAGAAGAAGCAGAAAAAAGTTACATATATGTATCTAATAAATTAAAGCGGGTCCCCATTTACATAATTCTTCTTATTTTTTTTTTTTTATCTTCTTTTTCGTCCGTGAAACTAGAAATCGTTCGATCGAATGATTTAATCAAGTTCCCATCGTATTCATGATATAACGAGACACGCGAAATCGTGAAGGAACGTTATCGTACGTCGAGTTATTTATCGCTACGTTTTCACGTGTATTTCGAAAGTATTTTACCTACCTCGTAGAAAGCCGGTCGTTTTTGAAATACTTAGCGAGATCGTCTGAAACAAAAAAAAAGAAAAAAAAAGAAATAACAATTTTTCTTCAATCCGATCAGGGGGATTATTTAAAAAAAAAAAGAAAAAAGAGTTAGGAACGTTTAATCTCCGATAATATTTGAGTTCCGCTTCCGTTTAAAGTTAAATATCCAACTTGTTGTGTTCTTCTATTATATTTACCATTTAAGGGCTTTTACTTGACTACTGGAGTCAATATCCCAAGAGCTCTTCGTCTATCTTTATTTTTCCACGACATAACAATCTTACGACGTTTCTTTTTAGATATTTTTCTTGCTGCAGAGATACGAGACACATTCTGTGAGCTATTAAGTAAATAATACGTTTTCCGTGTTACATGTTTGATTTGGTAGAAATACTTTTTCCAAATAGTTCATATCTTCTTTCACAGGATTTTCTTCCTTCTATTCCTCTCATTCCTCCTGTCATTCTTACTTCTTTTTCTAGTTCTTTCCGTCAAAGTAAAGAATCGAAAGACTCTTTTAAAAAAACTGTATATGCTGTACAAGTTTCGCGATAACCATCTCAACCTTCTCTTCTCCTTTCTTTCTTTCTTTTTTTCGTCTCTTCTTTCTTCTTCTTTTTTTTTTTTTTGTTTAACATCGTTGAAGGTCTCAAGGAAAAACGCGTGCATATTCGCCTACATACGAGATTTACTGGAAATTTCACTTCCCAAAACGATTTATATTCACCGTGTATACGTATCCGCAAAGGTACGTTTTATTTAAATTACTCTCAATGCTTTCTGAAAAACGTGTCGCAATTTAGTTTCGCTATTCCTTGATGCACCGAGTAGTAGATACGAAGGGAGGGAATCATGCACATCTCTCGAAAGCTTTTCCTTTTTCTTTTTTTTTTTTTTTTTTTTTTTTTTTGGAAAAAGGAACGAACTGCGTTTTAAGGAGTGAGTTAGAATACACGAAAGAAAAAGAAATTGTCCGTCTTGTAATGGAATATATTGTAAAATAAAACATTGGGTATTTCCACTTCCTTTCGTATACGAGGAAAATCTTCAACCACAAAAGATGAATCGATTGATCCTCTCTCTTCTTCTTCTTCTTCTTCTCTCTCTTTTTCTCTTTCTCTTTCCTGTAAAAGGTACGAACATTTCTGAGAAAAACTAAGTTGAAATACGATACCGATAAAATAGGGGATGAGTCTAAACGTTTATATTTATTGCTACCTAATCTTACTTTCCGTTGAATCTCTCATGATTTTCTATGGAATCATCTGCAAATTTTACGATCCCGATCAGACGTCGTATTTTTATCAATTTATTGTATCGTTTCAAATCTTTTTCTATCACGTATTTCCACAAATGTATTTTATCTCTTTTTCTCTTAGATTTCTTTTTCCCTCTTAAGCGGGGGAAGGGGGGCGGGACGGGAAACGAAATTTATCAAATATCAGGGGTACTCTACGCATCTTTCGAAAAACCAAAATCAAAATGGATGATCGTCTTTGCGTCATCGAATAAAAAATGATTTTCAAAATCTACAGCCAAATTATTGGAAGTTTTGTCACGAAGTTAAGGGATAAAAAAAAAAAAAAGAATAAAGACAAAAAGGATCGATGCATCGAATTTTCGTTGAAACGCTTTTACCCTGATCGAGAATCTGTCTCTTGAAGATTCGATTTAGTCATGGCATGACGGTAGCACGGTGTACCATTGCTGTTACTGTTATTCTCTTCGAACTCGATTTTTCTCGCTTGCACGCGACCAATACATTGCATTTATCGAACGAGAGAGTATAAACAAGGTCGGATTTGGAAATCGAGATGATGCACTTCGCGAAATTCTTCAATTGTATTTTATGGATTTTATTTATTTGTCTATCTTTCTAGTAAAAATTCGATTCGTGAAAAAATTATTTTTTTTTCCTTTTTTTTTGTTTGGAAAGTATACGAATATATTCTCAGAAAAGAAAAAAATAGAGAGAGAGAGAGAGTTTGACGAACATGAAAGATTAAAATTATTACAAAGTCGCTGCACCTGACATCTCATATTGAATAAGTTCTATAGATACATATATATATATATATATATTGTATATAAATGCACTCATGCATACAACTGCGGTTAAACGACAGATGATTTCATTCAAATTGTATTTTTTAATTGTCAATCTGTTCTTATATCATTCGAATGGTCTATTTTATTTTCATTACATTTATTTTTCTTATTATACTATCGTTAACTTAACAAAACTGAAATTACAATTTTATCGAGAAAAATTTGCGTATCTTCTTCGATGACATTTCTTTGTTGCCTTTGTGTCATATAAATTCTCTATCTTCTTTTTTCTTTTTCTTTTTTTCGCGTTACATTTATTTATTTAATTATTTTTATTATATCTATCTCGTGTTGACTTAATGAAATTAAAATTACGATTATATATATATATATATAAAAAGAACTCGTATATTTTCTTCGATAATATTGTTTACGTCCATTTTATCTTTTCAATGTTCATGTTTATTTTCATTAAATTTATTTATTTGATTTTCTTGAATTAACATTATCATTGGTTAAATAAAGTTGTAATTACAGATTTTATGAAAAAAATTCGTATATCATCTTTGATAACATTTCTTTTACGCGTAACACTTTAAAAATGTTATTTTTATTATGTAACACTTTGATGTTAGTTAAACCGGAAATGCTTGATGCATCACGTTGATCTTTTCATTCGGTTCGATATGAATCAACAAAAAAAAAAAAGAGGAGAGAAAGAATAAAGATATAATTGTACAGACGAATATGTAGTTTCCTACATTTACCTTCGATCTGTTATAAAAGTAAAAGGCGTGGAAACGACGTTATTCAATCAGTCCAGTTTGCGAATCGAATTCTTTTTTTATTCTTCTTTTTTTTTCTTTTCATACATATTATTTGTTTGTTCCCTTTTCTTTTATGTTCGAATAGTATATGGTATGACCATGGGAGAAAGAAAGTACGGGGGATCGTTCGAAGATCGAAAACTCGTTTGTGAGTCGAGTGAAAATTTGATATTGTAAATAATATTTTATCGATCGTTTAAAAGATTATCAATTATTAATCGATTTTTTGTCTTTCAATCGCGGGGATAATAAAGTAAAGTAAGGGGGTATAAAAGAATGTAAAGAAATTGAAAATAATGGTTTCTAATCGTGTAATTTAATTATTGGAATTCAGAATAATGGATAATAAATTATTCTCAGTCTATCAGTAAAAGTAATTTTACAATTATTCGAACGAAAATCAATTATTAATTAATTTAAAATTACTTCATTGCAATATAAAGAAAAAGTATTATCTGTCTTGCGATCAGAATGAAAAATAAAAAAAAAAAATAGGTAGTATTAGGTTGATCCCTTCAATGAAATTATTGAAAACCCGAAAAAGGATAATTGTTTTTTTTTTTTCGTGTATTCGTAAAAAGTAACTTTGCAAAAATTCGATGTTAAATAATCTTTATTCGATCGTTCGAACAATTAAAATTAATTATTAAAAAATTCAATTCATTTCTATCTAGAAAAGAAAAAAAGTAATCTATTTCTCGATTAAAATGGGGAAGTAAAGAAAGAGTGAAATAATTAGATCGCGATTAAATTATTTATATCCTTAGAAAGGATAATGAATTATTTTTCTGTAAATTCAATTGTTCGGAACATGCATTAATTATCAACCAATCGAATTTTGCTTCCTTTTTTTTCTACCTATGTAAAAAAAAAACAAAAAAGTATCATCTATCTTACGATCAGTATACAAAATAACGAAAGTGATAAAAGAATGAAAAAAAAGAAAAAAACAAAAAACAAGAAGTGGGTAGGAGGTAGTGATGGGTTGACCCATACGATTAAATTATCGGTGTCCTGAGAAAGGATAATGGATTGTCCTTCGTTGTAGCTTGTGAAAGTAGCTTTGCGTAACTGCGCATATCGTTGTGGACAATGTGTTCAACGATTTTTACTCCTCTCAATCTTTCTCATGCTCACTCTCTCTTTAGATTTTCTCTTTCTCCTTTCTTCGTTTCTTGTTGTTTTTTTTTTTTCCTTTTCTTTTTCTGTCCCTTTTCTTTCGGACAAAAGACCAAAGTGCTGTTTCCAGGAGTACTGTGCGTTAGAGCTTATAAATTTTGTCAATACCTTTTCACATTTTCTTTAAAGGAAGATATAGGGGGAGACTGGAGAACAAAGATCAACGTTCAGAGGATATTCGAGTTTCACAAACGTGAAACGGTATTAACGGTGATTTACGAATTCCTTGGATTCCGAGTATGGTCGAGTATGGTAGAAATAAGAAAGAAAATTAATGGGGAGGAGCACAGCTGTTCGATCAAATAAAAATCTTGCTTCTCGTTTTTAGGAAGAAAACTCTACTCGTTCTCTTTCTCTACTTCAAATCGTATTTTTAACTCGACATTTTTACCACATCCATTTTTCTGAATCCTACTTGTTCCTTTTTCTTAGTTCGATAACACAGGATCAATAGAGAAGTAAGCAATATAATGGCGTTTATATAAATCATAGAAATCGTTAGTTTAACTTTACAACCTCACGTTATTTAACGTCTCATACCGATAATACACGTTTATTTCGATCTTCAAAAGTCTTTTAAACAATACTATTTTATATCTCATATCGCGATTGTTTAGAAATGATATCACTAATTTATCGATTAACTTTGTTGTAATTATATTAACATTTACGATCAGTATGGTTAGTAACATGAATGAGTATCCAATCTGAAATAACAAAAGATTATAACTTTCTGATAGTATTGTACAAGTGCAAGAAGGTGTTTAATAGAAGAGTGGTGCCCTCGAACCCATAAAACGGAGAGTATAAAAAGATGAATATACTGTTATTTTCTTTTCTTTTCTTTTCTCATTTTTATTATTCGCAATGGCTCGTATATTTGAAACGTTCTATATAAGAGATTGTACGCGTTAAACCAGAAAGATATAAGATAAAATATTGGTGGGAAAAAGAAGTATGCGCTCGCTAGTTTTCTCTACTCGTAGTTCGTAAAATGTTTCTTAATCGTCTGAAATTTGTTTTCCCGGACAATTAAGCTCGTTGTTGGGCATTCCTTTTGAGAAATAAGCTCTCACGTATATATTCAACAGCAAGACTCTTACTCTTAACTTTTACTCTTTTTTTCTTTCTTATTCTTCTTATTTCTTTCTCTCGGAAAGTAAACGTTCGTCTAAATTGGCCCAATGCTTTTTCATTTTAAGAATCGCGACAATTCACAATGGTTTCTTACTA